TTATCTCGCCGTCATCTACGACACACGGGGCCCATTAACTGCGAGGACCGTTGCATCTATTCCTTTTTTTTTCCTGTTATTTTTATGTAAACGCTCCGCCATTAACCCATTATACCGACAAAGGGGAAAAAGTGCCGTGTAGCGTGGCGAATAAGCGGTCCCGCGGCCGATAAGGCTTATCGATTCGCCAATTACGTGGATTTATTATCGAGGCGTGCGTTCGGGCGTAAAATAATAAATCCGGTTTCTGCGCGCCCGAAAATTAGTAGCAGCGTCGATTATCGATTTCCGACGACATTCTCGTGACATTCTCTGCGAGACGAGAGATCATCTGACGTCTTCATGGAAATTCCCAGGGTCCAGTGGACCTGACAAAGGAAAGGAAAAAAAATTCATTACTTCGTTCGACGGGACACCTGGTTTCGTCTACACACTCCTCGACAGAGGCAAACGTTTCGCCGTAGTAATTAATAAGGGGATAATCGACGATCCATTATCTCGTTGATAGTGACCCTCTGCCTTTTACATCTTTCCCCTATCCTTCTCTTCCTTTCTCTCCCTCTTTCTGTACCGCCTCGTCTTGGCTACCCTTCAGCTCATTTCCGCCCACGTGTACTTAATAACGGTCATAGTGAGTGCGGAGAGTATATAATCGTGGTTGTCAGTTTCAGAATTTTTAACGCATTTGTTAGAATTATCTTATTTTTATTATCGGAATTATTCTTAATTATTACTTTATTATAAATTTCTAGTTTTTTATTTTGCGGCGTGTAAATATAACATTCTCCTCATAGTTACGAACAAATGACAAATCACAGCGGTTAAGTCAGTTTGCAAATCGGCCTTGTAGGGTTAAGCAAGTCAAGCGTGAGGCGAGCTGTGAATCACGACTATGGATGTAAAATTTCCAGAGTATATGCGGGGGATGAACGACGACGACGCGGACGATCGAGAACGTGAGGTGGCCATCACGTGCTCAATTTTCCGAAGGTTTCATAACATCCGTCTCTCAAGGAGGGTGCGCGCGGTGCCGCACCCTTCTGTCCTATTTCAGATCCTCCGAAGGCTAATTTCCCTGACAGAGACATTTTCGTTCGGTTGGTCCAGTCCGCATCCCCGGCCACCGTCGTTCTTCCATCGTCCCACCCTCCCGATAGATCGTAAGACCCACCAGGAGGAGAGAGGGGACGGAAGGGAACTAAATCAATGTAGGACATTTATATTGGCTGGAAATCGCTGACTCTCCACGGACCACCGTGGACATCCGACCGGGACATATTAAGATTTCTGATCCGCCGCGTCGACCGCGGCGACATTTTTATCATTGCGTGTCCTTTCCTTTCCCACACGTCCTGCCGCGAGAAGGAAATAAAACGTGAATTATTGTCCACGCGGTGTCTCTCTCTCTCGCCGTGTGTCCGCGCACGTGGTCCAGCCCCCGGTCTCTACCGGGTTAAAGTGGCCGTTATGGTTTTCGGTGAATAATTTAATGGCCCGTTTAGTGATGTCGGCTCGTGAATATCGAACGACGTCTCGCGCGCGATACGCTTAGCAAACATTTTTGCCCGAATCTCGGCCGAATTTTGCATTGATCCACGGCTAATCGAGAAAATTTGAATAAATTTTTAGTGATTGAAAACAGTAATCCGTATTAATGGAACGTTGAGAGACCGTGTGTCTCTCTCCTCTATCCCCATTAAATAATTTAAATTTTTCATTAAACAGATATACATTATTTCCATCGTGCGTTTCGTTCAGAATTTATTGATTAATTTTCGAACGCTCTTTCATTTGAATTCGTTTATTTTCAATTGTGATCTCGTTTGTTACGACTAGACAAAATGAGAGAAAAAACGATTAAAATTAAGAGGAAAAAAACATGATATACGAGATCGGCCGTCGTCAGTATTCCGCGTCTGACCGCGGGTGTCAAAGCAATTCGTTTAAATTAATAGGACCAGACACCGCGTAGCGTAGCTTATCATCCGATTAGTACCAGTTTCAACCTCCCTTTCCCGGTCAGAGAAATGTTCTTATTTGTAAGGCCGTTATCGACCGGTTCGGGCTGATAAAGCTCGATACTTTTATCGGGTCGCGATTATTCCTCTCTATCTCTCCCAGATACTCCGGTGCCAGCGTTGCAACGCTCTCGAAACGATTTCATTTGTCACGCGTATGTCAGCGATAGCGCGTTCGTTTCTCTCTCTCTCTCTCTCTCTCTCTCTCTTTATCTCTGTCCTATTTTGTATTACATCAACGCAAGGGAGAGACGGAGCGAAATACAAATGTTTTTCGCGATCGGAATGTGTTTGCGTGCGTTACGGATTGACCGCCAACGCGATCGTTAGCGCCTCCTCCGTCCTCGAGTCGATCGGCAGACTCTGCCCGGTTGAATGTGCCACGATGAACGGAAATGCGCTCTTCTCCTCGCGTAGAACGCGCGTTCAACGAGGCCGCTCGCGACAGACCGGCGCGGGCGGCGGGTCGCTTATCGCGCGCGAGTGCTTCCATGCGGCAGCACGGCACGGAGATATCACGAGGAGAAGGATCCCTCCGCGTCGCTTCTTTCACGGAACCGCGCGCGTCCTGCATGCGAGCGCCGCGACGATTGGGTCGCGCGTCGCTCCCACCTCGGAACCGCGCGCTCTCGATCGACGTTGGCGAACGCGCGATTACCGCGGCCGACAGTCGCGCGTAGTCGGCCGCGTCGCTCGGTATTGTTTTACCTCGAGTCGACTTGGGTCGAGTCAAGTCAAGTCTCGTCAAGTCTCGTCTCGTCTCGTCTCGTTCCCATGCCAGTCTGGATTCGCACGTGGTTTCACGACTATCGATCTATCGTGAGGCACTCCGCGCGTAAACGTTAGTCGCGAAGTTCCGACGTCGGCAAAGTTGTACGATTCTTTCATGGCCCGTGGAAGGCGTTAAATTTCGGCCTGGCGCCCCATAGTCCTCGCGTTAGCGGCCGAAGTTTATTCTACCCTCACCCCCTCCCGCGCGAAGCGGAGCGCGCGGCACTTTTCGACGTGTTGGAAAAGCGGGACGAGAGGAGAGAGAGAGATAAAGACAGAAAGACGAAATAGAGCGGGAGGGTGAACGGAGGACCGGCATCGTGCGCGAAAGTTTTCGGCGCGGTGCAAGCGGATAAGGCAGCAGTGCCGTGGAATATTTTAACATATATCACGACGGGAGAGAAAGAGTGAGAGAGGGAGAAAGAGAAGAGAAATTGGGACGAGGGGTTGTTGTAGCGCGCGATTGCTGTCTCCCTCTCGTTCCTCCCTACTTGGCCGGGCTCCTCTTCTTCCGCTTCGTCTTCCTCTCGTTCGCGCGGCAACTCCTCCGCTCGTCGCCGGATCAACGTGCGCCTTTGGCGGTGGTGTGATGTGCCGCCCTGTATGACGTGACCCCCGTGTACGAGAACGGAGTCGGTGTGTATATCGTTGAATCAGCGCGCACACACGTCCCCGCCGCCAGCATGTTTGTCTGCCACACGGACTACGGCAGCTATAAAATGGTAAATTTACCGAAAATGCGGACTACGCGAAGTCCCGCGATTGGGTGTCCGTATATATATATCCCGCGGCACCGGAACGATCGATAGATCCTCCCCGTTTCTGTCGCGTGCACTCTCTGATGTGCATCGTCCTCCCTACATTGTCTTTTTTTTTCCACACCGAAGCCCTCGCGTCTATCTATCGGTTTAAGGAAAGGGACTTGGAAAGGAAAGGAACTGCGGCCAACTGTAAATCTATAACTTAGAGCTGAGAGCACACGAATCGTTCTGTATATAATTCGCGATCATGATCCGTTTTTTGACCCGCGACTTCTCTCTCTCTCTCTCTCTCTCTCTCTCTCTCTCTCTCTCGGCGAGAACTTTTTTCCGATCCATAGTAGTCTCTCGGAGACACGTCCATGGATGAGTAATCAAGTTATATCGGGTATCGCTCGATAGCGTGCTTTATCCTTCATTTAAATGATTGGAGTGCGATATCGGATTAGACAATCGAAGACTTTTTATCGCGCGCGAAACTGCTTCCGCGCTATCGTCGGCGTCCTACGTCACGTTCGACATTGCAGCCTCTTATACATTGACGAGCTCCCGATCTCAGCGAGCTCCCAATAATTAATTTATCATCGCCTTAGCCTCCTGGCCTTCGTCGCGCGTTCTAAAAATTGGAGCGCTGTATATCTGCCGAGCAGAGAAGTCAATGTCGTCGACGCGAGACGACGCGTTGCCAGTGACGATATTCGTCTCAAACGTGAAGCTTCAGTTTGACATTTTTCTTTTTTGTGAAGAACAAAATTGTTCGCTCGCTGCGAACGGCGCGGCGAGACGTCGATTAAATCGGATCATCTGCTCGTCCTTATGAAGATTGACGGCGTTAATTGGATCGAGGAGGACGACCTAATCTTAGATTTTTATTGATGTCCGCGTTGCGCAAGGATAACCGCGTATATATATATGTATATGTGTGCGTGTAGCCGTTTAATGACTCCATCATACCGATTTTCTCTCTCTCTCTCGAAGACATGTGCATGTGTGCGCGCACGTTCCTGTCTCGCGTCTACGTCGCTGAATTAATGACCGTTCTCGCTACGAGCCACGACCGTCGGTGTCGTAATAGTCGACCGGGTCTATCGTAAGATCGATGGAGAGACGCGCTACAATACAATGCACAAAGGTGTCGCAAGAAACGGAGATGCAACACCGCGCCTGCTGCCTTTGCCTGGCCAGCCGGCGGTGGAGTATCCGCGTGTCGTCGCGATTACAGTGCAATTTTTCGCATTACACCAGAAATGCTGAAACGCCGACTTAAAGAAGTTTCGCGCGGCTCGCGAAACAGCGCGACGAGAAAATTATACGCGCGGCGTTTCCGTTTGTCCGATTCCCGCGAGTCGCTCGTTCGGACGAATTATAGGATTTCCCCCGTTTTCTAAGTCTGATATATGCACGTAAATTGATAATAAATTCTTGATTGTGAATATTTGCTTTTTTGTTGCAGTATGGCTCGGATGAATTCGGACAGGAGTCGCCGAGATACACGTCGCCGAAGGGTGCCCTTTACGCGGATTCCTACTACATCGGTAAGCAAGAAATGAGACCAGCATTAATAAAAATAACAAAAATCAAGACACATCCATACTTCAGTTTTAACGAGTAAAGTAGTGGCGATAAGAGAAAAATGGAATTTTATTGAATGAATCATTGCATCCTCGAGATCTCCGGGCAAACAGGCATCACGACCTAGATTAATACGAACGAAAATATATAGAGCGCGTAGTAACAGACTCGTTATCGAATACTAATTTCACGCGAAAATAGTTATGAAATAGATTACTGACTTATATATCTGTTAATAATCGATATCAGCGGACGTGGATGTAATTAAACGAGATAGTGCGAACCTCTCCGGGTTGGATTCGATAGATCGATCGTTATCTGCGAATCAGCAGCCATCGGCATATAGGCGCGCGCTCGTGCGCTCGCGCGCGCGTACGTGTATACGCGCGCGTACATACGTATACGTACGTATATATCATTTGGAAATCGCATAACGATCCGAACGGACGATAAAAGGGATTTTACGAGCGCACTAATATTCAACTGTTTAACGTTCGCTCGTAAAATTTGCCGCTCTGCCTGTCGCGCGTAAAAACAATAACAATCTCGTTATTTGTTCAAGCGGCGCGGCGGGGCGTCGAAGTTCGTCGCTGGATTTCGCGCGGATATATCCGGCGCGCCGTCGAAAAAAAATTCCACGGCGAAACTTCGTCGACGAGATATTGCCAATAAAAGCAATTCTCCGCCGCCTCGCTTCGGCACCGGCCGCACCGGCGAATCGCGCTACTTTGTTGTCGCAACGAACATTTATCGAAGCCCCGGCCGTCTTAGTGTCGCCATTTTAATAATTTTTCGCCGCTCGCGGAAAGTCGCTTCCTCTTTGGCGCGACTCTTTCTTGCGCGATACTCTAACTCCTCGTAATATCGATTCGTTGCTTTTTAATTGATTTACGCGCGCAGGATCGTTCGCGTTTTGTCGGAATTATCGCTGCGTCGCGCGAATTGCTCTGTTAGTCGGCACTACTGCTGATTTTTATAGAGCTGTAATCGCGGTTTACGGTTTGTTTCGTAGATTATAACGGATCTTTGAAAAATTATCGTCATCAGGACAGGTGCGACGTACACCGTCACGCTCTACGCTTTTCGCGGATACGCTCGTCGCAGCTCTCCTCAAGCTCGTGCAGGAAAAAGACATAGGAAATTGTATATCAAACTTAGCATTTTGAGTAAAAATAACGGGGCATTTATTTAATTAAATCTTAAGCTTCGTATAAGAGAATACAAAAAACGGTAAGGTAATCATAAAAGAAAGATTACGTTGGTGAAGCAAATCTGTGGAAGAATTTCGCGTGCTTAAATATGCAAATATTTCGGGATGATCTACACGATGATAGATCTGTGAAATCGGCGAAGTTTTCCACCGCAGAGCTCGTTATTATGGATCAGATGAGAAAAGTAGCAGTTTAAGTACGCTTTCGAAATACGTGTCGGCGCTCGTGGCACCCGGTAGCTGACCGGAATGGCTTATAAATGGCAGGCCACGACGAGGGGGCGAAAAAGTTTTATCAGACATCGAACACCGGTAGTTGGTAGGAACGCCCGAGTAGTTTGGCTTAGTTTCCGTTTTCTCGTCGAGGAGCGCCCGGTACGGGAATTATATCAAGCAAAAGTATCAAGAAATACGTTCCCGAGGCTTATTGCTGTTGTTTTCAACTGAAATAATGGTCCGCGCCGGGTACCGCGCGTCTATTGGCCCTTATACCGGGTGTGTGTGTGTGTATGTATGTGTGTGTGTGTGCGCGCGCGCGGCTCCACCGCAAAACGACGCCCCGGGACCCGAGTGAGTGAGACGTTAGAAAGCGCGAAATTTCGACTTGGCGAAAGTCCAGGGAAGTTGTATCACACCGCGGACTCGTTCTCGAAATAATTACTGCGGAAGGAATGACATCGTCGCTTGATTAGGAAGTTTGGCGCGCGGCGGGCGCGCGTGCAGCTAGGAGCGGCAACGCCGTTGTCGACGTCGTCGACGTCGTGTTAATCGACCGAAATTGTACAAACATTTATGAAGCGAAGTGCAAGGCGGCCCTGACGAGTAGGGAAATTCGATTAAACGCCGCGCGAGGATGCATTTTAATTCGATTTGGACGCCCATTATCCGGGCACGTGCGCGACATTCTCCGCTCGCTGAACGCCACGTGCTCTATTATTTATTATTTCCCGCTCCAATGACGTAGAAAGTAGCCCGAGGTAGTCGACGAGGTTCTATCAGTATTCCACATCGCGATACTTCAATTACGTTCGAGAGAGAACTTTTACGAACGCGACGAGAGCGATGCCGGGGCGTCGAAAGGAAGAACGTTTCAAGGGAGAGTCTCCAATAATGCATCGCAAAATTCTTATTTATATCTCGTAATTTGTATTATAGCGTCTGCATTATCGAGACATTCTCAAATCTCCCTTTCATCGAATGTGGTCGCTCTGAGAATCGATTATTTAGATCTTGGATTCGAATAATAATCGGATGACACATGATTGATCGAAACCCGCACCCTCTCTCTTTCTTGTTACAGATGGTAATACTACAGGAACCGGTCCGGGCGACCCATGGACGGGTAGCGGCGGTGGTGTCCAGCCCCCATACAGTGGATACGCACCCTCTCACCTGGCGCAGCCAGCCTATCCCATGCACCTACCCCACGACCCCATGGTAAGTGATTTTTCCTATCCACCGTCTATTTCTCTCACTCTCTCTCCCTTCCTTTCTCTCGTTTCTCTCCTGGCCATCCCCTTGCCGCGGCCGAACTCGAAGAAACGATCAATCACGCGTGACTCGGGTGCTGGTTCCTACGGAGCCGCCGCCGTCGCGGAAAACGCCGTCTCTGGAACTTTGTAATAGACACAGGGGATATTCCTTCTTCCGTACTCTCTTGTCGTCGAACACGTGAGTTCGACGAGGAAGTCGACAGATTAAAAACCTAAGCGGGCAACCTAATCTCGGGTGCTACGGGAAGATCGATGTGCCTCCCGCGAGCAGCTTTGGTGCCCCCCTTCCCTTTCTCTCTCTCTCTCACCATCCCGAAAGTCGACGCGGGTCCGACGAAACCTTGATTGCGTAATCGACGTGTAAAAATTGAATTGGACGACGAGGAAGATCGATTTTTCGAATCGGAGAACCTCGTGCGCCCGTAATTTCATCGCGAGCTCCGGCATATCGCGATCAGTCGCGGTCGCTGAATTCAGCCTCTGCCGCTGAATTCCGTTAATTCGCGAAATTTTATCCCATTCGACGTTGCTGTACGTCGAAACGGACGGACGGCTGCTTCGAAATGCACTCGTTCTCGGACGAAATTCCGAGAGATGCGGGGATTCTCGACGTTCTCGACGTTCATGATCGAGAGAACGTCCACAAATACGCGAACTTTTCAAGGGATTTATCGTAACGCTTGATGGCTTTCCGCGGAACGTGATAAATTCCGATCGCGCGGTGATCGCCCTTGCTAAATCTCGCCGACGAATCGTCTCTCGGCGAATTCGCGCGAAGCGCCGCGCGCCGCCAGGTCGTCTCGAGGACGAGCCGCGCGTCGCTTCTCGCGGTCGGCCATTACTCTCCGACCAAACGCGGCGTCGGCTCTAATCCTCTCCGTCAACCGTGATCCGACGGGCCAGCTGGTGGTCTCTTCTGGCTGTCTTATTTCGGACCACCCGGTTGATTGTCGCGTGCGCGCGAGGAGAGACGCGCTCTCTCTTCATCGCCTCGCCATGGTTGAGAGACACTGTTGACAGTGCTCCACGTACCCGGAGTAACGTCAAATGACTCACTGGCGTCTATATATAGCCCCGACCCTCCCGCTACTCCCGTGTTTCTAGTCAAGTGCAGCCTTCGTTTGATTTACGCCGTTCATGGTTACCACGAAATCCTCCTCTTCGTGGCACCTCGTACCCGTCTCTCGGCAGCCTCTCTCTCTCTCTCTCTCTCTCGCTTTGAGATAACGAGAGGAGGTTTCTGCTACCGGCGTATGACGTCGCGATCGCGATCCCTCCGATCGGGAATCGCCGACAACCAGTAAACGACTGAGAAATCAATCTCGTCCGACGAATTATTTTCACTTTTATCAAAACATCATACTTTTATATACATATATACAAATAGATCGCTGTAAACTTCCGGCGCTCTCTCTGATCATAAAGTCCGAGTTTTAATGACTACTGTAAGACAAACCATTTTATTGTCGTTCGCGTAGCTACAGTGAGGCCTTTTGGCCTATGTGATATGACAAGAAACGTCGTAAAGAAACGTTGTACGATTTAGGCCGAACACGTCCAAGAAGGATGGAGTCAAGCGTCATGAGGTAAGGATTTCTTTCGGTTACCAAAGATTAAACATTTACGAGCTTCTAGTTTAATGACCCATCTTCCGAGAACGGCGCCGAGTCCGCGCGTCCATCGAAGAAGAGATCCCCGCTGGATGCCTAAGTTTTTCTAGCATATCCGTCGACGCGCCGAAAATCTTCCTCGGTTTCAACCGTGATATTCGTATATTTCTTCATAAGAGCGTCGATTTAAAGGCAACGTTTCACGCGGGGCACGTACCTACACGTCTCCGTATAGGCGTCTCCCCGCGGCTACTCTAATTTGTTGATAAATACACTACGCTCCATAGAGCGTCGGCGGCGATGGTGGCTTAAAATTAGACTTTTACGAGCGGTTTCAGTAGGTGCGAGAGAGCGCTATATCCCACGCTTGGCGTATCCGATATCAAAGCTGGTCGGTAGGCGATCCATTATAACTACATAGAGAGACGCGCTTGAAGGCAATCGTACAAATCGCCGAGCGCCACGCCGCTCCTGGAAATCACTCGGGATTCTTGTAACGGGGACCTTTATCGTTTGTAACTGCACAGGATAAATCAAATCCCACGTTCCGCGCACGCATGCACGCGCTCAGAGAAGACACTCCTTTCCGAAGTCCTGCAGCGGAATTCCTGATTATCCTGAAATTTCTCCTGCGACGAAATCCACGATGATGAAGATTAAGATGTTTCACAAATCGGACGACGCAATCCTGCGAAACCTATAGAAATTCCTCCTACAACAGAGAACCTCCGAGGAGAGAGAGCTAGATTCCAGCATACTGGACGCAAGTTCGATAATTAACGTTGAAGATCGTGTATTCCCACGACTTCGCCCCGAGACGGTTACCACAAGAACCGAGCGTCGAACCATTTGCGCTTGGCGGTTTCAGGCATACTCGGCGATGTCGCCGAACGGTGAATCTGCAGCGCCGATCCTGGGCTCGGCGGTGACCAGTGCGGCTTCCCTGCCGCCAATGTCGACATTCCGGGGTAGTGCCGTGGTCGCGGCGAACAGCGGCACAGGGGCGCCGTCGCCGGCATCGTTGCAATATAGCCATAGTCCTGGTGCACCGACGACCGCGCCTCCCGCGCCCAACACTGCGCCCACGACGAACCAGCAATCCACCACGGACGACACCCTCGGCAAGGCCCTCGCATCCGTCGTAAGCACCCGAGTATGTGTCCGTCGTCAAGTCAAGTTCTTTTTTTTTTTAAAGCATAATGCCATAATAGATTAAAAGAGTATTGAACGGAGACAAAACGTAATGAAATAATGGATATTATCCGTTAGATGAGACGAATAATACTTGAATGATGTAAATTATTTATGTAGCGTCTAGAGTTGTTTTCGCAATTTAATGTAACATTTGTCGCGTCATTTGGATAATACATCTCACTTTACGACGCGACATTGTTGCTTCGCGGATGATTCGGACGATCGTACCTTGTAGTGTTATGTCACGACTGCGTCGTTATCGCGACGTTTTTCACAGATTTACCCCACGGACCAATCAGTATCCAGTTATAGCAGTAATCCATCTACGCCCGTCAGTTCGCCACCACCTTTAACCGGCTCGGCACCAGGTTGGGCACCTGGAGCCGCGCCAGTCTCTCCGCATTTTACGGCGGACCCCAATCGTGGTATTCACATGGTATGTATCTCACATTTGTACGATTAACTAATTAACGACGATCTCTTGGCTCGGCACAAGACGCAGGACTTTTTCAACGTTGTTTAAATTATTTTATCAATTTATAGCCTTTGCAATATATGGAAATTAATCGAAGTATAATCGGTCGGACATCGTTGAAAGATTTTTTTTTTTTTTTTTGGTCGCTTCGAAAACATGCACGGGAAAATTTTTACAAGCGCTGTAACACGATAGCCATGTTATTCCAATGATATTTCGCTAAATTTCGTACGTTACACGTCGACGATATTGTCAATTATCACGCGCGTAATTTTTATCTTTTTTTGAGGAGGGAAATGGGGGGGGAGGATTGTTACGAGCAATAGAAAAGCGATATACAAGCGGAAGTAAGGAAAGAATGTCATTTGTTCTTGTTTGTGTCAAAGATTTATTTTTCATTACGAAAGATTTACAATCGACTGTTCGCACATAATCACGCAGCACTAAAGTCGCACAAAGTGCATGAGATCGCGTTTGCACCGAGAAATCACCGTTTGTGTGCTTCCCTTACGAGCGGCTATTTTATTTATATCCTCCCCCGCCACCGCCCCCCACTTGCGTTGAGAAATTATTAAGTTTATCGTCCCTCCCGTTCATTTGACGACGCACTTTTTTTATTTATTCCGCCCTGTTTGTTGTGAACGTTGTGTTGACTTGGTTGTTTCTCTCTTTTTTTTTTGGTTTTGTTGTTGCGTTGGTGTTGTGTGTGAAGCCGGCGCCTGAACAGCAGAGGCTAGACGATGCCATCGGCTTCCTTCGCGACCACGCCGAGGTGAGGACCGCCGAATTTCAGTTTTTTTTTTCACCACCCTTCTCGTTCACTCTCCCTTCTTTTCCATACTCTTTTTTTTACGCATGTTCACGCCACGAGACAAATGCCAAGACATGTCCATTGCACTTTTTGCTGATTACGCTTTCGATTAATTATGATTATATATTGTGATGAGGTCTTCATTGTGCACAATGTATAATCGTAGCTTGTATTTTTTCTTCTATTAACAAAAACGCGTTTCGATAATTAGATAATCGGCATTAAACTGTATTTAATTGATCTAATCGAATTTTTTTATATAATCTTATAATATTCTATACTCTTCTTCCGAGACTCTACCTCTTCGGTTAGCAAAACTATCTTTCTATCGTGGAATATTCAGAAGCGAAATAAAAAGAATTTAATGTTAACTTTGATTTCCTCCCTTGGAAACTTTTCTGAAATAAACCATAAGTATCCAAGGAAAGTAAAACCGTCTCCCTGTAGCATCCCTCGTAATAATACGTAATGAGAGGCAACAGACAATTTCGAACTACCGGCGCGTAATCGAGTCGCATCTTCGGTATTCTGTTGGTACAGGGGGCACGGATGGAGGAGCGGTTAGACGATGCCATAAACGTACTGAGGAATCACGCCGAAAGTCAAGTGGCTCTTCATCTTGGCCCGGTCGGTCCACACGGCGGGTTATACTCGCATACCTCACCACCGCAGCTGGAACATTTGGTAAGGAACTTGGCCAAAAATACCGGGGGCAGTTACAATCACGGAAGGATTGCCGCCCTATACCCGTCCCCGTTTTAATTATTTCGCGAGATACGCTTATAGTATTACTATCTCTCACTTCCAGGCGAGTCCACATCCTGCGGTAACGGTGACGCAACCTCAGGGTTCCTATCCCGGTCTTACGCCTACGCCCGACACAGATGGTTCGATCAAGATCGAAAGGTTACCTGTGACGAATGCCAGTAAGTTGACCCCGAAGTGGCGTATCGGAGTGAATCGCGATATAATTTGCAGCACAGGAGAAACCGGCTCGCGATTAACCGGCGGCGATAATCGCCATAATCTTGATGATCTCGATCTATTTCTATTCTCGCGTTAAAAACATCCGGTGATTTTTTTTTTCCGTAAGAACAAGAATCGTGATTACGCATTACGTTTCGATCACCCGCCGTTCTTGCCTATTCTCGCATGATCGCATCATCGAGCAGTCACTTTTCCCATGAATTCCCGCGAAGGAGAGGGAAAAAGGGACGGGGCACCCAGGTGTTCCACACACAACGGACTCGCGGCCGAATAAGGAAATATTAGATAAATCACGCGAAGTCTTTGCTGTCCGGCGGTCGTGCCTGCATTATTCCCGCGAGTGTACGTTCGGTTATCTCGCTCTTCGTTTCTCTTCCGCCTCGTTGTGTTCCGTCCCTTTCGGCCTCCCGCACTCTTTAGAGTCATTATGCCGACGGAGAACATTTGGTATCCTTTTACTATACGGATTAGGAGATCCTGCGTTACGTTAGCTGGCCGTAGGAATGCAGAACATTCCTGCGGGTTTGGAAACTGTTTACGCGCTTTGTACGCGTAGGAATAGATGGAAATTCGCGAAAATCTCATCTGCAATAACTTTCGTGAAAAATAGCGCATTGAAAAGTAAACGAATCCTTTAAGGAAGTACGCGGATTTCAATTGCGCGGATACTTGCTGCGTTTCGGTTGCAGTGCGTCATCGAGCGCGATGCAAAAGTGATCGCACTTTCGCACACAGCACCGCGCGTCTGATTTATCCGCGTCGTGCGATTGTCCCGCGAGGGAAGGACTTTTAAAGAGATACACTCGCGGCTCATACGGTGAGCTAATACTCTCCGCGAATCATCAAGCGAAAGAGAGAGAAAACGTTTAAGGCGATCGGGGCTGAATCAGGGTTGAGCGAAATCCCGTAAAGCGCGCTTCCTGCTCCTAATTGGACGCTTTTCACGGTTTCGTGACTAAGCCTCCTTGCTTAAAGCTCCAGGATAATCGAAGATCGTGATCGCCGTCTGCGGCGAAGGTCGGCCGCGTTTATTCTTTCTCCGTTTCCGGGTAAAGTCCGTGCCGTTTTTCCGCGGTTGCATCAGATAATCTGGCGGCAGTGCTCGAATGAGGCTGCTGTCATAGTTCGCCTTTTAAATCTCCTGAGATACGTTTCGTCAATTATCCACGGAATTACGAAGGAAAGAGAAACATTCTTCCCTTCGGACTGGACATAAAAAGAGTTTTAGCTGGTTTCTTCTGTGTCTTGCGAATTATATATATGTAACAATGCGATTGTCGTAAAAATGTTACGCGGCAGTATTAATAATGAGCAGAATACATCCCCCTAGAAAAGAGGAAAGATCCGCCCGATAGTAGCGGCGGCGAGACGAAGCCATCGAGCAGCGAACTCGCGGCCGGTGTGATCGGGGCTGCCACAGTCAACTCGACGTCGCAAGGAAAGGGAACGAAGCGATCGCGCAGATAGTAAGTATTTGAAAAGATTTTTCGAGATAAAAATTTCTAAATAAATCCCTCGATAGATTTAGACGTGTCGAGTAACAATGGCAAAAAACAAAATAAAAATAAAAGTAAATAAGAGAAGTTACGATCGACACACGCGGTTATCAACGTCCGTTCGTTTCGCTCCGAGTCTCATGGACGTCGAAAAGAAACTTAGATCACTCGCTGCACTTAACTTGAGAGTTTTTTTTGTGAAAAAATAATCGAACATATTAATAATAATTAATTGGAGATGCGCTTGCATCCGATTCCCTCGAAAATTCATTCCCGAACTAACTTGCTGTGTCTTTGAACAACCGTTGTTCGAGCGCCGATGAAGACTGCGACGATCCTGGCACCAAAGCGGTGCGCGAGAAAGAACGTCGCCAGGCCAACAACGTGCGTGAAAGGTTAGTGAACACACGCAGTACGCACTTCGTTGCATCTTGATACAAACAATTTCCTTTCCGCTCCCGCAATCCCTAAAATATTATAATACACGTCGCCTGCGATGCGGATGATACGCGTACGTATATCCGCGTCGCCGAGCGTAACTCACTGGAAAAAGGAAGAAAAACTCCGCTGTACATTTTCCCGGGGAAAGTTCCTGGCCACCTAGTCGTATGCATGCCTAAAAACGAGGTGACTATTTGTGTGACGAGCAATAAACCGTGAGACGATTAATTCACGAATGATCAGGGGCGGGGGGGGGGACGCACGGCATGTTTACGATTTTGTTACAACATATGAGTACAAGATTGTCCCGCAATCCTTTTACATCCGTTGCACTGTATAAGGCCCGTATTCAGGCGTGAAAATTAAAATGTTTCTGGTTAAGAGGACAGAAATGAGATGAGACATGATGGAATGTTAACAGCTCTCTCGTGCGTACCTGCAAATCAGTCTCATTTTAATTCAGCTGCGATTCGGTCCCTAGGCATGCCACTTCGTTTAGAAACATTCCGCACTTATTCTGCATCACTGAACGTTGCATCAAATTGCTCAGTTGTATAGACTTTTCTCTTTTTTTTACCCCTCCACAAGCGCTTTTTTTTTTACTACCTTTGTACAAATGAAAGAACATGTCGTATTTTTTGTGAACTGATAATGATTTTGTGAACTTGATCTCACTGTGTTTTGGTCATACACGTATCGTATAAATTTTTATGAGGCATTGTCATATATATATATATATATAGTTAAAATAAAAGTCGATTGATATATCGCTCTTTCTACAGTATACATAATTAAATATCTATTTCGATGTTATTATATTTTTAATTCTTTCTGTACTGTTTTTATTCTCTTATTATTTTGTGATTATTTTTAATTCCTTCCAAAATTATGTCGCTCCGAAAGGAAAAAGTGAAAAGACGATTGTATAGATGTCATCTGCATTCTCTAATTTTCTAGGTAACAGCATCAAAATAGAAGATCTACATATTTCGAAACCGAAAGATCATTTGTCCCTTGACGTGATTATTTGCCAACGATTGTTTATTCTCTGTGCAAAGAATACGGGCCTTTAAAATTCGTAACCTACTTATTATCCACGATTTCAAAATTACGAAACCACCTGCGTGTGTTCATTATCGTATCGTTTGTCTATATTGCAATAAGAAAACGTATGTGTATTATACGCAAAATCCGCTCGAACAACAATTAGGTGATTAGACTCCAGCAGCAAGTCAAAGGCAATCTTCTTGCAATTTGCGACTGTGTCGCGCGCGCGCGTGTGTCGCTTACGTTAGTAATTCGATTGCCGTTAGGTAATTTAAGCGATATATAGGCTAGAGTAAGTTGTGACGTAAGCCAGGTGATTAATCGCGTATTGTTATTGCGCAACTGTTGTTCGAGCGCTGAGGACGAGGATGATGATCCCGACATGAAGGCACAAAGGGAGAAAGAGAGGCGGCAGGCAAATAACGCTAGGGAAAGGTAAGACCGATGATATACGCAGCAGGACATAAAGGAACTAGATTTTATTTGATCCACAGTGATATGACAATTCAGGTTAATAGTAACGGCGGCCCGTATTCTATGTATATGTGACATAACAATGTAACATGACCACTAAAAGTATTTTCTCGATAACGATGAAAATAAATGACATGTTTCTTCATATATTATATACATTATTTCACGAAATTGGCATGTTCTGGTATATATATCTATGCATGAAAAATTTACTGCTATCACATGCTTTTACGCAATTGCATTTGTATATTAATAAAGAATCGCAAAATATACATGATATTGTACGATTACATTTCTCATAATTTGTTTGGCTGTATTAATTTTTTCTGCTGTAAACGTACACAAGAAAAAGATTGCTTAATGCGATGAGTGTGTAAGTAGATATTGAAAGATATAACATTATTACGAAATTATCACACGTTCAACTAAGCTTATTTCTCTCTTTAACAATGAAATTTAAAGAAAATACATTATGCTTAAATTTCATTTTTCGTCATAGGATACGTATTAGGGACATCAATGAGGCTCTGAAGGAACTTGGTAGAATGTGTATGACACACCTGAAGACGGACAAACCTCAAACGAAACTCGGTATTCTCAACATGGCTGTTGAAGTCATAATGACACTCGAGCAACAAGTCAGAGGTGCGTATATCTGCTTTTCGATCAGTCGTATCATATCATTCTGTATAAATATTCGTGTGTTTAATCCATTCTTTCTTTTCTTTCAGAGCGGAATCTTAATCCGAAGGCTGCGTGTTTAAAAAGAAGAGAAGAGGAGAAAGCCGAGGATGGTCCGAAGTTACCAGGCCATCTTGCAGCGCACATAGCACATCCGCATTCTCATCCGCACGCGCACTCCCAACCGCCCTTCCCCGCATTACCCGTAAGATTCTGTCAAATTTAAAGTTCGCACAAGCTTTGGGATTACTTTGGGATGTGATAAATAAAATTATACGTATGTCTGTTTTAGGGTCCACAACCTTCCCTTCAGCACAATCCACCACAGCCGCAGTAGCAGCGGCTCAGTGGCGGTATCATTCTGTGTTAAGGGGTAGATACATCTTAAAATTAATAAAAAGAAAACAAGTTTATGGACATGACTTACTACATACCCATGTAGGATTTTTCTCTGCTCTTATAAGTTGTGGGAATGTGCAAAAAAAATTGTGGATATTATGTGGTGCGTAAAAGTTAGTAGAAGAAAGAATAGGAAATAAGAGTGATACGATCTTAATCGTATTTTTTAAAAATATCTTGTTCATATTATTTTATATATGTATAAATACATATATATAAATTGATTCATTTGTATAATTTTTTTTATATCTGAATTGTATTTTGGTCTAGAGAAATCTTTATCCATATCTATTAATTTAAGAACATATGTTTTAATGCTGCAGCAAAAAGCAGGAATACCCATAATTTTTTTCGCAATTCTACGAATATGCAATGTAATAAGGCAAGAAGTTCCGTACGCGCTCACCCAAGCATAGGGCAAGTAGTTTTAAGAGGCATCTACCCCCTCAAGGCGGCTTCAAATTATTTTTATAAATAGCGGAAAGAAAAAAACAAAGGAATATGGTTCCTCTTTCGAAATATATAATGTGTAGTACGATCGAGATTTTATTAACGATCGAACTTCGCTGCTGACTCATGTTAAATTGCCCACTTCTGTGTATACACTACCGACACGTTTACGTTGTAACGCGCAATAGCTAGGAAGAAGAACTCGAGTTGGCGAGAAAAATAACAGAGTCATTGACTAGAGATGAAAATAAAGGCAGCATATTTCCGAATCGATTAGATATATACTTAAATATACATTTTTCGATCATATAATATATAAATTTACAGAATCGGCAAACCTCGATGATTAAGAACTTCTCGTTCTTAAAACTTATCCGATTTTAACAGAATTTAACTCTTTGCCGATATTATGGATTATGTCGCCTTTATGTTGATCATTAGACGCTGGCAATATTGTATATAGAAACTATTATTTACAAGCGTTCAGAATGTGAATTGTGAAGATGCTAGCGGTTCGTTCACGCTCGCGAGAACACCATTTGTAACTCGCGGTATGATAAGAAAATCGCATTTCGATGCTTGCAGCTTCTTTTCTGACACATGCAACTTTGATTAGGAAAACATAGAGAATGAGAATTTTAAATATGTCATTTTTTACGAAATTTGCTTTCCTAAAAAAAGCAAGATAAAAGAAAGATAAAATATACTTGATACGTAGTATATATATCATTTATACAAATGTATAAAAAGAAGCTGCAAGGAACGCATAAATAATAATGAAAATTTCTTATGACACCGCGTCGTTTGAAATACTCTCGTTTTTAACATCAATATTTACTATCTCAGAGAAAATAAGAAACCGTGGCCGTGAAGATACCCTACTTAAAGTTCATCAGCATGTATTTATTTTACTATTCTTCAAGTTTTTTTTTTTTTTACGGCTATAGAATTTGATTATGTATGCCATTTAAGTGCCATTTTTATAGAAAACCCCCTTGGTTTTAATGTCGAAGTGGATATTATTAATACATTCAGTTATAGTTTTATATTAAGCATAATTTATATGCAAATCACATCTCATTTTTATTACATGCCATTTTAATTATTTCGGATTTTGTATAAAATATTTTTATAGTAATCGTAGGAAAATAGCGTGAACGATCCGTGCCCAAAACCGAAAGCGTACATACATTGTAAGAAAATAACACTATAAGAGATAACATTTGCATTACTTTCAACAAATGATTTTGTTAATTTTATTACACTGATCGTTCGAATTATACGATCAATCTTTAATTTAAGAATAATGAAGGATTCATAATTTAAGACATTTTAGGACATTCTTGAATTATTATATTAATAATTTTTATGTATTACGTCTCTTTTATTGTCCATGTCTTAACACGGATACAAATTGCGACTCCAAAATGGAATTGTCAAGCAAATATTATATTGCGGCATTGAGAAAAGCATTGGGCAGTAAAAGTGAAGCGAAAAGGAAGAATTAGAGATCTCTTTTCACAATTATTGACTCTGATTGCATGCTTTACGTTTTCACAACAATTTGCCACGAGACATGCGTATACATTATCAGCAAGAATTGAAAAGCATTTATATGTGCCAAGACGTGCGCATTGCGAAAAAAATACTACAACGCTTAATGCGAAACATACCCTTGTTACGACAATGTTTACGGACGCACTTCACAAATGCGTTATGCAGTGCTTTTCTTTTACGATGCCGCGTTTCGCGGGAGAAAATACGATCTTTCGATGGCATCGACTGGTTTTGGTACGTCGTCGAATCATTCTGGACATTTCGAATATTCATGGAGCTCCTCTTCCTGCGCTACCTTTGCCACCGATCGTTCGAGCAAACTTTCTGTACTTATACATGCGTGGTGAAGTGGAATATAGATCGAGCGAATGAAATAGATAAAGCTTCATAAGGCGTGATATAAGATCGTTATGAATGCGATGAAACTCGCACAAGAGAAGAGCCAAACCAATCAATCCGTCATAATCATGATTAATTATTATTAATTATTATTATTATTGATTAATTACCGTTAATAAGATCTTTCGTGAGAAAAGAACGTGACATTTTTGTTTTTGGACAAAAATATAGCTCAAACGTATCTGTACCCAGTTGCCATGTATTTTAATTTATTTAGATTCTTAAATAAATTTTATTGAAAAAAAAGAAACCAACGCAAATGCATCGAGTGTGCCCGTGTTTATTTCGCCTCTTTTCTGTTCTACTTTCTTTTTCCTTTCATCTATCGAGAACATCTTCTCTTATATATCTACAGCTATATTTTTCTTCAAAGGCATAACAGTTATTTCGTAGAAATTACGGAGGATATGAATGTTATATATTCTTGCTCAGACCCTGTGACAGGCTTTTCCTTTACCGACTTTTAGGATCTAAACTCATATCAAAATATGTCAAACATATCATATGTATATTTATTGTAGGAATCCGCAACATATTTTCTCTCTTTCGCTCAATTTTTAACTTGACTAAAAAAATTCGAATATTTTTATATTAAAATTTTTTGCGATAATGTTTTTCTCTGAATTACATCATTTTATCGCTATACATAATTACATGTAACATTTATTATATTTAAATAATTATTAAGCCATTTTAAGTGACAAGATGTGAATTAGAAATTTTTTTTAACACTTTATTAAAGTAATTTTCTCTTTTATTTTTGTAATTTGCTACAAAATTTGAATTATTTGGACTGAATATCTGCTTATCTCAGTTGCATGATATATGATATGTGAGAAAAATGTTTCAAAGATACTGCGCTGAACACGTACGCATGCATGATATAAATGTAAAATAAACATCTTTCTATGATTGCGAATCAGAATGCGATCATACAGTACTAAGTACTGTTAATACTCTGTAATATTTGATACAATACTAACATATTATAAATATTTTATTTTCCAAATTAATGACACAAAACAGGGGAAGAATTGAAAAGATTATCCCAACGCTGATTTTTATAAACTGTAAACTTACATATTTTCTAGATCGTAGACCTACCATAAAATCACTTTCGTTCTCGATCAGGATCTGTAGATTATAGGCAATCTGATCGGCAAGAGAACTCGCACAACCTCGCTCCGCATTTAATTAATAATCATTAATCATGCTCCGTTGCTTCGGCGACGCTTTATAAAATTATATTTAACAAAGAGAAAAAGGAGAGCGAAAGAGAAAGAGAGAGAGAGAGAGAGAGAGAGCGAAAAAGAGGAAGAGAGAACGTAACTATAAATGTACATTGCGTTAAATTGCAAAAAGAGCCGCTCACAGACACTAATAAGATACACGATCACACATCTGTATTCGCGAAGGTAATCATGTAAAATAATAACGACAATAAATAGCTCGTAAGCCAGTCTAAGCTAGACACGTGTCGATAGTCGTAGATAGTCAAAATGAAGCTGAAGAGCGAAGAGGTCTACATACTGGGGGGTTGAAGTCGAAACTATCGGCCGTAATGGCCCCTTCACACAGACCTTTGTACATGAAACGAAGTAATTATGCTCTTAATGATGTTATTTTCAAATACGCGCATATCGAGGACACGGTTGAGGGGAGGGGGGGACACCGCATTTTCGTTTGATACGAGTTGGTTAGAAGGACCGATTTCAATTTATGATTACTGTTAAGCGTAAATATCGATGAGAACGTAAGGGACTATTTGTTGCGGTCTAATTGTGTGTAAGGGTTCAGTTTCATTGATACAACTGCGAATCGATAATTATCATATCATATAAGGGTGTAACTATATTAGATATATAATATTGTATAATATGTAATAAAAAAAAGGATTAATGCGTAAGTGGGTTGTAGGCAGTTTGTGTGAATGGGCCTCGAGGATGTTGAAACCGATCTCTTCGACCCTACATGCGATTAAGAAGAATGATGCGAATATTAATATTAATGAAGTAAACGAGATGAATATAAATATCTAAACTGAATAAACGGAAGGGTGCAAGAGAGAGAGAGAGAGAGAGAAAGAATATGAGAGAGTGAACAAGTGTATCGATTGAGAAAGAAAAAAATATGTAATTATATCATTAGTAATATTACTATCACTAATATAATAAATGTGCCATTTTTTCCATAATCACAGTGTCGCCTGGGCGTGGGATCCTGAAGCGATCCGTCAAATGTTTCTTTCTTTTTTTGTAATATAATTTTAATGCACGCGCCGTATTTGCCATTATTTGCCTTTTTTTTCTTTCTCACTCGTTATTTTATTTGTATATTATACTCTCAGTATTTTAGATAATATTTACATTTTACATTTTACGTTTTTTTCTTTGCTCCTATAATACGCATACTGATTTTAAGTTTCAATTGTATTTTAT